GAATCTAAATCCAATGCATCAGCCAATCTATGTGCAGCTAAATAAGCTTATAAACCCACATCCAGAAGAGTACAAGCGGTACGAAAGCCGCAAAGACGAAGCCCCAGCTTATCATATGATCTGCAGGGTTATTGCGTCGTACATAGCCATGTAATTGATGTTGTCGTGGCTCACCGAAGGCTTCCTCCTCCTCGGGATATTCATAATACCAGTAGTTCTTCCCTCGCGGTCGACCCTCATGATTTGGCTTGTTCGAAACTGGCTTGGATGCTTCACCTATGTGTTGGCAAACGATTGTGACAAAATAATCTTTATAAGAACCGTCCTTGAGGCATTTGTAGACCATTTCCTTCGTCCCGTCATCCAGCTCCCGAAAGTATCCTGGTTCCCCCTCAACCTCTAGTCGCTCGGCAAACGCTTCGATGTCAGTAGAAATTTGGTCCAAAACCTCCTTCTCCGGTGTCATGCCGACTGGGAGCCAAGTATTCTTGAGAGCCATGGTGGGTCTGAGCCGGCCACCGCTCGGTACACTGGCATCATGAATGGTATTCTGTTCAACTACTGCCTAGACCCTGGTCATTCACCTGGTGATACAAGGGTGCGCACGGAGGGATTGGTGCTGGTACATATGTTTGACCATCTGGAAGAATTGAGTTCTAGGCTCGTCCGTCTCGTTGTTGGACAGTTGGACAAGCATTTCGTAGACGAAGAAGGGAGAGCATGAATCTTCAAATCTGTGGATCGTAGGATCGAATCCCATCGCACTTGGGGAGGCGAGGAGGAAAGAGAGGCAGACCGACAATACCGAGTAGTAATTCTACGTGAGAATCGGATGCCAACTTCTGAAAATAGAGCAAGAAGATGGCGTGTACCTTCTTGATATCAACTTCGGTGGATCTGGCGCAGTGAGTCGGGGAAAAGTATACCACGGTTAGGTGATTCATATGTATCATGATCTAGACGGACGCAATGAGCGATATGAGGGCTTGCACCGAAAGATATTAACGTACCCCGAATGAGAACATTCGGTGAGGGTTGTTGGTTATGAGAGAATTCCCAGAACACATGAGACTCTCCCATTTCGGCTCACCATCCTTGTTTTTATCCTCCTCGGTCTCAGCTGCGATGGGAACAGAGACGGTATGTCCTGGTATGATTCTGCGTCGAGCCCAGGGTTTACTGTCGTCGATTTCGAAAGCGCCTCCAAGGCAGTGACTACAGCCCTCGCATTCATCATGTTTATTCTGGGGTTGCGTGCAGTAGACGTGTAAATCATGTCCCAGACGCAGAGTGGCATTTGTGCCATTCTGGACGGAAGACGCGATTGCATTCAAGTTGTTAAGGAGGTGGTCGTAGACCATTGTGAAGAGCCCGAGGTTATCGAGATGCTTGAGATCTGCCGACCAGTGGAAAGGACTACCCCTAGCATTTTCTAATCATTCGAGCAATCCAAGAGATTTGAATAGCTTGATGGAAGCCACGATTTGCTGGTGGGACGGCCTGAAGGGGGCATAACAGTCTTGGAAATCCTCAAAGTCACGGTCGACCTTTCATAGAGGAATGCCCAGGATCCAACCACGTCATGGATGTAACAAGTAACGATTTGAGCGTAATGTCAAAGCAAAGCTTCGAGGGTAGTGTCGTGAGGAAACAGAAGAGGAAGAAAAGTGTATGAAAGTTGTGTGGGAGCATCACATGCACCACGACTGTCACAGTTATATTGTCAACCTCCGGCCCAGGAGCACAATTTCCAAGGACATTGACTCCGAACTCGGGCCCAGGGAGAGCCAAATAAGGTCGAGCCGGGGCTGGTGTGACGGATGGGGTTGGATCACGTTCGGCTGTGAACTCAACGATGTTTCCTGTCACCTACGTCATAATAGCACAAAAGTCAAAGTATATTCAACAGACGTAGAACACCCCAACGCCTATCAGAGTATGGTTATGGAAGACAAGAGTTCAAGAACTTTTTGCTCATGGGAGGTACATAGGGAAAGCCTCCGGAGTTACACGGCAGGGCCGGCATTGGAATCGGAGGGTTTGCGTACAATGGTGGAGCCAGCAGCCATTGCAGCGTAAAGGCCCCCTGACGTTTGCGGACAGCCTCGCACTCCCATTCCTCACTGCCTTATAATCCGCAGCCTGCTCTAACGGCTCCCTAATCATTTCCTCTCTCAGTTTCCCCTCTCCAAGCATCCCTCTGGGACCACCAAGGATCTTCTACAAACCATCCACAGTTGACTTCACCGTACCCTCCGAGTCGCCTTCGATCCCCATATCGGCACACGCTTTTCCAAGGCTTATTTGTGGTTTCCGATGGACATCCAGATGACTTCTCCATGTGATATCCTGAGCGACGAGGAGCGGTGAGTGTTTGGTGGTTTTCTCTGCGGGGGATGATGCGGCCTGAGTAGATACGATGGACCGTTGAGGGGCTTGTCATCGAGCGATTAGTTAAGATTGATTAAACAGGCGTTGAGCCCGGATGTAGTGTCACAGAGTCGCCAGCTCTGCTTTTGAGGTGGTTATTCCTGGTTGTTCAGTCAAAATATGAGTACAAGGGAGCCGGAAAGTGTGTAAATGCGCTTGTCTGCGATTGCGACACCGCCATTCTTGGGGGAGTACAGGTGCGACTTTTTTCTTTGGTGCAGCACCGACAGGGGTTTTGCCTGGAGAATAGTTGATAATTTATCAAATCTGAATACAATCGGCGCTCAACACATCCAGGTATGGCGATCGGAACAACGATAACCTTTCTTCCCTTTTCCCCAACCGTCAATGTCTCTTCCTCAATTCCCTCCTTCAGCTTCCTTTTCTCCTTCTGTTCCCGAAACCACTCCAGGAATCTCTCCCTCGGCCCCCTTGCATACCCGTCAAATTGACCCCTGTACCTTGTATTTTCACCAATAATCCAGTTAGCCTGCACTTCGTCTCCTCCCTTTTCACCTTGCCCTTTGGCAGAGCAGATAGAATAAGCAGATCCTTGGTCGTAAGGAGGGTCTCCGTCGCCTCTCTAGTCACGATACACCATGTATGGCTCATCAGACTTGGCTTTGAAGGACAGGGACCCAGGCGCGTACAGTGATTGCCCTTGCTCCACAGTCGCCAGCTTCGGTAATGGTTTGCACCGCGTGCGTTCAAAGTTTGATGAAACCCCATTCTTCAGCGAAGGCATTGACGGTTTTATGCGGCATATCTTGAATGCTTTTGTAGCAATAATGAGATTGTGGACGTGGAGGCCAGTGCGTTCTGGTGGGTATGCAAGGACGTGTTCCTCGAATGAGTCATTACATAGCTAATAGATATCACGAAAATGTCAGTAGATATGCAATTCCGATAAAATGGGAGGCCGACGCATCTCGGTAACGATAGCCTTGATGTGAGATCCGCCTCTGTCTTTTTCTAGTAGCGTCTGGTTCACTGCTCGCCTGCCTCCGCATTACTCTTGTGCACTGGTCCAAGTTAGTGTTTGGACCTGATAACCAGTTTCTCCAGCGTGAGCGCTGCAATGAATTTAACACATCTGTATGACTCGAGTGGGATAATATACGGCGGTGCGATGCGTGCCTCGACGGCCGCTCACTAAGATCAATACATCATGGTCAGTGAATGTATCATATGGGAACGAAAGAGACTCACAGTAGTCCATGGCACCTCGCCAATGTTGAAAAACTTGTCACCCTTTTATCACGACTTATGTTCCACGCCATGTCCACTTTCTGAAAGCACCCCCCTAGAGAATAGCCCTCTTGTGAACGTACGAAATGGCTGATGAACGAACCCAAGCCACTTTATGCGTGTAGTATGCGCTGTAGGTGTGCTCTGAGATGCTCAGACCTCGACGGATGGATCCACACCCGTCCCCTGTCATTCCCCTTGCTCTTGTCATCAGTCTTTATCCTCATCCAACCCGGGAACCTCGTGCTCACCCTCGGCAGCTGCTGCACGGCAAGGTACAATATATGCGGTTTCTTCTAACGTTCTCTTGTGAACTTTACTTTCAACAAGTGCTACGGTGGTTGGTGATTTAAGTATGTATCGGCAGTGTGCGTTACGCTGAGACATTACGTCGTTGGCGATATACCGTAAGTCTAATCACACGCAGATATCAGCTGTCGTCCGGTAGTGATAAAAACGAACAGCCATACCAAAAGTCTGATAATTGATGGCTGTCAACCGCACCCCAGCGTCCTAGCACCCGTGCGGTTCGAAACCTGCGCTACGCATCTTCATTCCCCTGGGATAATAGTGCATTAAACGTCCCTCAATGTGCCTGGCATCACACTTGTACTAATCCCCAACAGTGGATGAGAGTATTGTTGGGAAGGACGCCAATGGTAGTGGGGCTTGTGATGAAAGTTATGGGAATGGAGGGGGGAGGTGAGAGATAGAGAACCCCTGGTGTATCGACTTGACGCGCCATTGTGTACACCCAACATTCTCTTTGGTAGCGATGATGCCGAAGAAGGCCTTGGAGCCAGTCAGTTTTAATTGGTTATATCTATGAATCGAGGAGACGTACCAAGATTCTGTGAGCATAGTGACATGCAACGTCCATTCTGCACCCTTGTAAAAGTCCTCGTGGGCTCGTAGGCTTGAGCTGAGCCGAGCTATAGTGCATGATCCGAACCCTCATCCAGGGAGGCCAATACCGGGGTAGTTGAAGGAAGTTATCAGTTTTGCGTGTCGCTGAGCTTGATATCGGAAAGTATCCAAAGCTATAACATGCACAGAGGAATATATTATGACAATAATTAGGTGACAATATATGGTCCTCGAGCGCGGGTCTTGGAGATTGGAGATTCGACGTAGGTCAAGGGCATCGGTATAATTAACAAAGGAACGCGAATGAACTTGCTTTGTTTGTCACTGTTGTGGTACTCGGACGAAGTACTCTCTGTTACAAGCCTTTGTTGACGGTTACCCGAACACACGGAACAGCTTGTGTTCTCAGAACTTGAGACGCTCTTGAGTAGTTATAATCACACACACCTCAAGCAGCTCTGTCAGGGCTGTATCAATAGTCGAGACGTCATTCAGATGCTGACTACGATCCAGAGTCAACTAATGTCAACACGGGACCCGAGTGGCCACTATATAACACAAAGGACCGATCAGGTCTAAGCTTCTTTGAATGCGTTTGTTGTGGACATATTGTTCGCAAGCGCCTCCTCCTCAACTTCTCGCAAAAGTGCTTGTGCATTCTCATCTCTGATGCGGATATTGCACTCATATGGTTTGGGATGGCTACATGAATGATGTAAGTAAAAGGGTGTTATTAGGAACGGGGAGGCTCAACAACAGACCTTGTCAGCCCAGTATCTAGACCAGTAGTGGGTGTGACTTCCACTCCATTCTTATCCTTGACTCCCTCTATCTTGAAGAGAGCAAGTATCGTTGCAACGGCAATCCAAAAGTTGCCGTCACCAAGGTAGCGACCTGGACACACCCTGACATACGAAGGGACCATCCTTATTCAATGCAGATGTTCTAATCGAAGGAAATAGCTCACCGTCTACCAAAGCCAAAATGGAAGGTAGGGTATGGTTCCTTATTTCCTCCTTCAGTCCTCGGCAGGTATCTGGACGGGTTGAAAGAATCTGCATCATGGTGGAGTGCTTTATCTCTCGAGATGCCCCTATTGATATTTTTCACGTATTTTGCAGTTGGAATTGTGGAAGGACGTACCATCCATTGGCGAATATAGTTGCGTCCTTAGGGATG